AAGTTATAAATTACGAAAAACTGAGGAGAATTACGGGTCATCATCATCACCGCGCCCGCATTGTGTGTAATTACTGTTAGCATGTATATGGCTTGTAATTCGAAAGTGTACAGTGAATATAATTATTTCTTATCTCTCTCATTTTTTAAATTCAGCAAATTTGTATATGTAATTTCCAGAGTGCATAGGAAAAAGTCTATGCGTAGCTAATTCCTAGCTTTGAATCTCAATTCAGTGCATTTGAGACAATAACCTAATGTAATTATCATCAGCACATACAAATTACAGCTTAGACCTCCAGTAATGCCATCTCAGAAGCAGATTTTACATCACATCGGAGCCAAAGGTTGATAACAAGCCTCGTTTAGGCAACACGTACAACTAAGTGCTAAGTTAATATCTTGTAGAAAAACCTACATAATGTCAAAAAAAAAACAGCATAATGTCAAAAAAAAATCGGCATAATGTCACTTGTCAAGATGACGCTATACCCGTGCGGATGTGCGTTTTTTTCTTGAAACCCTCCAGTATCCTCTTGTCCTGTATTTCCGATGTAAGACATACATCCGTAGTTCACATGAACAACGAGTTTCACGTATGTCCCAATTATGACCTACATATCAAAGTTGTGATTTTTTAAACGTATTGGCTCAAATTTTATTGCATATTTGGATAAACCAATTCAAAAGAATAAGATTGATGTAACATACTATGGGGTTTTGGTAATTAGCTACTGAGATGTAAGGTGTTTTGTCCAGAAAAACCGTCCACTTCGGAAACCCTTCAATCCGCCATTCTGAAATTCGGAGTGCTGAATTTTGTATAAAAAAAAGCTTACACACCTCAGCTTTTATCTTATTTGTGACTTTTTCGAATTTTCTTTTTTGCTTATACAGGATGGTCAAAAACCCTGTATATTTGTGCAAGTTTGGATTCAATTTTTTTATAAGCCTTTTTTGGTATAAGGTTTGATTCAGATAAAATTGCTAGATTTTGAGTTATTAAGCTTTTAATAGAGCAATACACCAAAATTAAGGAAAAAATTCACATATCATCCATGGAAACAAAAGACAAACAGGGGGCTAATTCCATATTGCCACTAAGAGTACAGATTGACGTTAAAACTAATAATAACTAGATCAGTGTAAATCAGTTTCAAGCGTAATAGAGAAAAACAACTATAAAAACAACATAAAAAAACATCTATCACTACTCGAGACCTAATCTACAAAAACTGCTCGAAAATATCTCCCCCAGGTTGAATACACAGCCGTAGTCTTTCGATAAATGACCATTGCACATCCCTCAGCATGTGTTCCCTTATTTTCAGAGAAGCATCTTAATCCTTTCCTCCATATTTTCCGGGGTAGATGGTGGATATCTATAAACCCGTCGTGTTAAAAGTACATATGCATGTTGACATCCTCCAAAAGCAAAGACAAATGCTCTATAAAAAATTCATGTATTCTGTACCTGTTAATCTGTTGCCGAAAAAGAAAGGCCCGATAACTTGATGCAAGGTGATATGGATGGTACCTATGCTTGTGAATAATCCTTTGGACAGAAGTTCTGCATATATCAGTTTCTGCTCCAATGTGCCGTGCACTTAAATGGGGATTTTCCTGCAACTTTAATAGAACCTCCAACTGATTCGCCTCATTGGTGACACTTGGATTATTTGTACATTTTTTTACTATATTCTACTGCTCCACTTGATTCAAAACATAGGGTAGGTATCGGTAGGGTGGAAAATGTTTCCGGCCTTGGATGTCGCATATTAGGGTACCGTTGCTTATAAATGCGAGATGGAGGAAACTATTTCTTTGAGCTGATACGATATTTTGGGGAATTAAGCCGTTCTATAAAAGACGTGCTAATAACCGAAAACATAGCCGTAAAAACACTTATGTGTCTAGAATGAAAAAAATAGCTTATAAAAAATTGAATCCAAACACAAATTATTCAGGGTGATGCATTTGAAATTTTTGAGAAAAACTACAATTTGCGTTTTTGACCACCCTGAGGTGTGTAAGTTTTTTTTGACAAACTACCTTATATCTCAGTAGCTAATTACCAAAATGCCATAGTATGTTATATCAATCTTCTTCTTTTGAATTGGTCTATCCAAATATGCAATAAAAATTGAGCCATTCTATTTAAAAAATCACAACTTTGATATGTAGGTCAAAATTGAGACCTACCCTGTATAATTGAAAATATTTTAGGAATGTGCCCTCAAATGTTGTGTATAACATGCCATTAATAGATTTTCCCAAGATGTATTTGTTTATGAGTAATATTCCGTTCACACATGGATGGGCCACCCTGTATATGGGTCCTACGGATAGTCTCAAGCTTTAAGGAAAAAGATACGCAATATTTTGCGTAACTTTTTGACAAGAATATCTACAACAGTTCTAAATCATTATACTTTTGTGTCTCGGTTACCGCTAATAATTACAGTTACGTTACAAAATGATTACATAACAATATTACCCCACTTCATCCCGTCTGGCTCGTAAAATCGGAAAGATCCCGTTTTTACGGTTGGAAGCGCTTTAAAGAGATGAGCTTAACGTCCAATCTAAAATACATTCCGTTCGTTCAACCCCGTTAACCGCGATTAGATCTAATTAAAAGAAGACAGCAGCTTTCAGAAACGACCCGCCTGTAAGTGATCGCCAATTGTTTTTGATGTTAGGCACACAGACGTACTTGAGGGGGAGTTGGTACTACTCCTAATCTCTTCATACGGAAGCAATGTGGAGACAGGCACCGCAACTGCTTTGTAGATTTGAACCAATTTTTATACAGGCCAAGGTAAGAGAAGAATACATCACTTACGACGACATGTAGGAAATTCAGCCCCGCACCTATCATGGATTAAGTACGACTGAGGTTTGCGTGGGACAGCAGCTTGTCACACTATTAGTATCACCGAGTGACTGACTAAGCTTACTCTTCAATTATTAGTATTTGTGTGACGTAAGCTAGTCACTGGTTTATTGCTGGTATCGGAAACCTTATTGACTGTTGCTAGCGAAGCGGTGATGGGACACGTTCAGTATGAATAAACTTCTCCCGAGACGTAAGTCATATGACCGAGGCGTGCACATCTCTTCAATACAATGAAACCCCGAAAAACTGGTATAAAATACAATTTCAATGACAATTTATCCGATTTTCCGTATAATAGGGTCTTTGGGCTACTGATGTCAAATTTGGGGTTAGTTTGTATCTATGAGGGCATTTGGAGGGCACTTCAAGGTTATACCAAGGGCATTTTCAAAATAAACCGAGAAGTTGATTCTAACCGTACGTCATTGGGGTTTTTCTGTTCACTAAGTCCGAATCAGAGGTCAGTTCGTGGTTATAAGGGCATCTGAAGGTCATTTCAAGGTCACTTCAAGGGCAAGGGCAAAAGTCCAGCATTTGACTAAATGCATCCGACCACTTACCATAATATGGTATATAACGTTATATTTCTCATTAGTTTGCAAAAGTTAGCAGAAAATGACACTCCATTTTATCCAGCAGTACTTTGAGGTCCACAAACATCATTTATTTCAATTGAGTTAATGGACGGAACGAATGATACTAATATAAAGAAGTGAATCTTAAAATAGCAATTCGTTTGATTCACGGAGTACATGAAAATACAACAATAATAACATATTTTTGCTACATCAAATGAAATTTTATAATTTTTTTATGATCCATATTCAGATGCTTGAATATTTTTAACACATAACAAAGATGATACAGAAGCTCTCAATGTTTGACATTGAAGTGTAGTGTTGAAAACTTCAAGTCTAATAGTCTACCATGGTAAAGGTAGTGTAGTGATCCAATGCCAACTTTTTGTTTAGGATATTAACTTTGACATAGGTAAAAACTTTCATTAATTTTCGTTACTTTATCTTTCAATTTTTGCTTTGTTTTGGCATATACGATAATATCCAAATTTGGTGTATGAGAGAGAAGCGCGATAAGCGTGCGATATGAATGTTAGAAGCATCTTGTTGCCTAGCAACCCCTGTACGGGAGCCATCGGCGCACTCTTTCTCGTTACGACGTTAGTGGTATTTAGTTTTCAGTGTATAGACGACTATGCGATATCAGGAATGATGTCAGGATAAGAAGTTTTATTAGCGACAAGCGCCTAATAGTTTTTAAGGAAAGTGATCCAGGTGACTATTCTTACAATTCTTTGTATGACAGGTACAGCATCAACCTCTATAGTATAAAGAAAGCAAGTAGGTCGATGAAATTTATATCCTATCTTTGAACGTCCAATATGTCTGAGCAGTCTTCTCGGGTTGAAGACCCGAGCTTTCGAGCTATGATATTATGTTTGACTAAATATGTACACATTAGATCCGTCCAAGGACAAAGAGAGTACATCGCGTCGCTGGAGCTGGTTTAGTCAATAATCACAGTTACATTGTATCTTTAGATGAGAAACTCGTATTTGTATAGTGTTAATACAATGGGGTCGGCAAAGGATACCTAGATGCCATGGATTACCTCTCCACCACTGCTGCTGATAATAGTGGCATTATTGCGAATTAAACAAATCTAGGTTAGCTCGAAGGCCATTTAAGCAACTATTCTCTGCACATTACAATGAACAACCTCCTACATGATGAATTATTTTAATTTGTGCGCAGAATTGAATCAAGCGCTAACAAACCCGCATTGCAACAAAATTTCAGCAACGGGAATTTTTGCTCGGATACGGAATTGTAATCATCAACAAAATGTATAACGAACTTGTCGATTGTTTGATCAGGCTCTATCTAGTTATACGGGCTAGCTTAATAATTACTACATGATTGGAATAAACCATCCGGCAATGCGAAGTACTATTCGGTAAAACTCAACATGTGCGACAAATGAAATTCAGCTTCTATTGAGTTTCACAATATGGATCATGCGAGGACATGTTAGCTAATTGGTATTAATATTTTCCGAAGTGTGATTGAAATTCTATATTCTAGGTCCTACATCATACCAAATATCACGGGCAGAATTACGGAAGGTTTATATGGATCCGTCTAAATTAGATGCCGAACACACAAGAAGCACATTTCGAATAATCAGGACTCCACTAATGAATAACATGCTGAGCTTGGAAGACCGTGAAAGATTATCTCGCCAGCAAACAGTGTCAGTTTAAGTAACTATGGACTAAGAACATAAATGACAAAGGATTTTTCAAAGTCAACTCTAAGCAGTCAGAGTTTTATCACGTTTCGTGGATTTTTATAAGAGCAAATCAAAGGACAATTGTAGGTATGTCCGCAATAAAGGAATAAAGGTAGGCATAGAAGGACTGGTAACTCGAACGCCGTAGGTTTCTGCTTATTGGCTTCATCAGGCCCAAATGTATGTGCAGTGAAAACACCGAAGTGAAAACAGATGGCCATCACACTAGGCTAGAAAGCCACCAACAGGAGCCAGCAGGCAAATTTGTGGCTTCCCTCAGAATAGCTCAGGCTTACGAGGTATTAATCGACATCGCCACAAAGATCAACTATATAGCCGTGGTACTTCAAGCCCATGAGTGAATACAAAGAAAGACAAGTAGTCTAACGCAAACTAGATGGAAAACAATGAACAATCGCGGGTATGTCCACGATAAAGGAACAGGGGCAGAGCGGACATGCCCACGATTGTCCTTTGTTTTTCATCTACGCTTCCGCAAGACTACTTGTCCTTCTTTGGATACTAGTCTAATCATATTAGATGAAAATACCCCTGGTTTGCGAAATAATTCTAAACTCTGGTTTTATTACTACAAGTTGTTCAAGGGGGTATTCAAAACATGGACGCATAAAATGGGTACACCAATTTTTGTGGGAAAACTTTTTATTCGACAACAAAGAATGAGAGAATGTGTTTTTTGGAATTCAATCGAAAGCGCTGACAGGAACGAAAAAACTCTTCATATAAGATTTTTAGGCGCTTATGAGACCTCCAAAATGAGACGACACCTAAGAAGATCCGACTAACAGCAAAAAAGTTATGCCCGAATAACGAGGCAAACTGCAGGTTTTGGCACTTGTTGGTAATGCGACGATGGATTCTCGCAGATACCTGAAATTTTTAAAATTCGAAGGATTCGTATTTCTAAAGAACCTCAACAAAATTGAAGTAGATTGGTTAAGTAGTTTTTGAGAATTTCTAATTGTTTATTACACAACCACTGCTCTTTTAAATCTTAATGATGAAATTATACGGTCGCTAGATAAGAGGCTTGCCACTCTACTTATATCCTTGGATTTTTCAAAAGCCTATGACACCATTGACCATTCTCTTATGTGCGCAAAAGTGTATCATTATGGCCTTGACCATACAACGTTGAACTTATTTTGAAATTACTTAAGTCTTCGTAAGCAAAGCGTTATTCTACATAACAAAAGATCTGAGGTAAAAACAATAACATCAGGAGTTCCTCAAGGTTCTGTTTTAGGACCGTTGTTATTTATTATATACACAGCTGATATCTTGAAATCCGTGCAGTACTCACACACTCAATCTTATGCTGATGACACGCAGCTTCTGTTTCATTTTGAACCATCTCTTGTGGAACAGGCAAATGATTTAATCAACACTGACTTACGAATAGTATCTGACAATTGTAAAGAACGCAATTTGAAACTAAATCCTGATAAAACGAAACTTGTGCTTTTCTGTTCTGATCACAAGCGAAAAAACTTGAGCAGTGGTCTGACCCTCTTCTTGAATCAACAACAACTTTATTTTTCAACTAGCTGTAAGATTCTTGGTTTGATCATAGTCGACAAGTTACGTTACCAACAATACATTGAAACAATATCTCAGAGGTGTTATTTGAAACTGCGAGTACTGTATGCCAATAAGTACATTATTAACTTCAAGACGAGGAAAAAGCTAGCTTAAAGTTTAGTGCTATCAATTATCAGTTATGGTTTGATAGTTTTTTATCCATGCCTGGACTATTCGACTCAAATGCGCCTGCAGAGATTGCAGAATAACTGTTGCCATTTTGTCTGTAACTTACATAAATTTGAGCACACATCTAATAGTTACAGGCTTTTACAATGGCTTAATATCAATTCTCTGTTCAAATATTTTCACCTAACGGCACTGAATCGTGTGTTATATTCTAAGTATCCTGTATATTTAGTAAAAAAGCTGGTTCCTAGGTCAAGTATACATAATGTCAACATAAGATATCAAAACCATTTTTCAATGCATATGTATGTAACATCACTCTTTTATAGATCTTTCACGTATAATGCAGTGTCTCTCTTTAAAATCTATAGCAGGAATATTGATATATCAAATACTATAACATCCGTTTCAAATTGTATCTCAGACATCTTCTAGGAATTCAGCACAGGATCAATGAGTAAATGCACTGTGATCAATTACCATTGTGTTCTTTTAGTTAGATTCATAGACATAAAATCGTTTACTGTATATGTAAAATACCTTATTTGTATGTCAAATTAGATTTAGCTCTAGTCTTTAGAAAGGTTGAATGTAAGAATAGCTGTGCTAAACTCCGCCAATAAAGCCGTTTATTATTATTATTCCAAAACACCTGTTTTCCGTTCATCACTACTAGTTTATGGAGCAAAATACAGGGCTGGTTCATAGAGCATTTCATAGCAACGTACTTTGCCGATATGAATCGCAAACCATTTCGAATAACGTTATTTTAATGAAAAAAAGGATGGGTTACGTTCTTTCTTCTAAACAAGTTCAATCATGTCGTATTTGTTGAGTAGTTCGCAGTAAAAGATAATCGACGCATCCGCTTTGTTTTAAAATGTGCAGAGTATTGTATGTTTTCCGAATATGGTAGCGCATTCGTTCAATTAGTCACAAATGAAATGTTTGAATTTGTTTAGAAGAAAAAATGTAACCTCTGTTTTTCGCATAAAAATAACATCTATCTTTCGGGATGGTTTGTGATTCATATCGGCAAGACAAACACGTGTATTTTGCTATTATGCTATTTGAACGAACCCTGTATATTGCTCAATAAACTAGTAGTGATGGCCAGAAAACAGGTGTTTTGGGATAAACAATTAGAAATTCTCAAAGAACTACTAGATCAATATACTCCAATTTTGTTATTATTTAGACGTATGAATCCAACGGATTTGAGGAATTTCAAGTAGTTGTTTAAAATTATCGTCGCATCACCAAAAAGTGCCAAAACCTACATTTTTGCTATTAGTCGGATCTTTTTACGTGTGGTCTCATTCTGTAGGTCTTATAAAAACCTAAAAATCTTATTTGAATCCCAAAAAACACGTTTTGTCATTCTTTGTTGTCAAATAAAAAGTTTTCCCACAAAAATTGGTGTGCCCACTTTATGCGTCCATGTTTTAAATACCCCCTCAACAACTTGCACCATTAAAACCAGACTTTTCAGTTATTTCGGAGAAATTTGCTAATATGATTAGACTATACATAAATGACAACCGATTTTTCAAAGTTAACTCTTTCCAACCTAGTGACAGGTGGTAGCCGCTAGTTTTATTACCTGTTTCGTGGATCTTCATTAAAGCAAATTTGCAGCATACAGCGTCCGATTCAAAGGAATATTTGACCACAATTTACATGCTGTTAATGCAGTTCAGCTGAAAACGCGCAAAGCCAAACCCTATTCATCCAGTTTGCAACAACTTTCCTAATTGGAGCGAATGCACTCAACGAAGGATTAAATGAAAAATCACGCTAGCTCAGCCGTAGTTAGATAAAAAAAGTTTGGTTATAATATGATTTTTAATTAAAAACACGACTTTTGCAAGCGTTTTATTGGCTGCGAGCGTGCCGGGTATTCGCTTTCGCTCATCACTGTTTCTGGGTGAAAGTAATTGGGTTCAAAAAACTGCAATTTCACCAGAGTGGATATCGACTTTGAAAAATGAATTTGAATGATCAATTTGTTTTGTTCCGCTGAAAAATCTGTTTCGTGAATCATGTTTTGCAGGTAGTCAAAACTAAAATTTTTCGCCGATTGATGTCACACAGAAGACGCCTAACGGCAACGTTATTGGCCTATACATGGAGCATATTGAAGGTTGGAATTTTCACAGTTTCTAAGGTTTCAATACTAATTAAGTCTCGTATAGTTTGAAATTGGACCTATTACTTGTAAAGGGTTGCACTAGTAGTCATTCGCAATAACTGAACTGAGGGGTAAAAACAAGCGATTACCGAATTTTCCAGGTTTTTTTTCAATTCAGGCGTGAACCTATTGCTTTACACTCTATTGCGCCACCAATAGTGTTTGAGCAAACATATTATTTTTTTACAAAAAAGCTGGCACGCCGATGGTATTTCTCATTATAGACATTTTTTCTGATTTGCAGCTGCCATTTTCTTGTTTGAATCAAAAACATCTGTATCTGAGGCAAAAATAGTAAGAGAGATTTTAATATAGAATCGACCAAGCTATCTAGAAAAAATAAAAAGAAATCGGTGGTGTACTTTTTATTTGTGTGAAAAATATCACAGGAATGCCACTGATGGTGCAACAGAGTTACTTTTTGACACTACAATGTCATTTCTTCGAAGCTAAAGATGCAAACCATAGCGGACATATGTTTAAACTTTTCGTCGAAAAATTATTTAAGTAGTCATGTTCTGGAGCATTAGCACATCGTCAATGAACACTGTGCATAGATATGTTGTAACAATGCACTCCACATGGTTTACAATTATCAGTCTCAGTAGACAAGACGTTTTATCAAATGGGACCCGTCAACGTTATGCGCCAAATCGATTTGTTTCATTGTTTCCAATCACAAAGTTGGACATTTCGTTGCAAGAAGAAACTAGCGGACTGTTATATTGGTGCTTGTATTGTGCAATATAAAAAACGAGTATTAGTGAGAATTACAAACATTTAGTAATTTTTTTTGTAATTACAAGCTTTTTTTCAGCTTGACCTGCTTGTAAGTGATGTTAGTATGTATGTGTGGGACAAATCTTGTAACCGATTTTGAAACCAGTTAATCTTAACAAAATGAATTAACTGCCGCCATTTTAAATCATTCATCATTTCCATAGGAATTCCTATGATTCCAGTATCTACCTGGGTGCGCCATCATTACTTTTTTTTACCTATAAGTTTATGTGTTACCATGTGAGTCAAAAGTCATGTGGTATGCATAAATGAACTGTGAAAGGTATGCCATTTATAGTCATGGATTCGTTTACAACACAACAACGCATTTCGGTTATCCAAACTTATCACGAAAACGGTCGAAACCTAAAAAATACTTTTAATCGCTTCGAGGGAACTGGTTCAGCTGAAGGTCGTAGCCAATACCAACATGCTCGTCCAGCTCGTACTCGTGAAAACAAAACCGCAGTGAGGGAAAGTGTGCGAGAAGATCCAACCACCTTGACTAGGCACCGTTCGCAACAATTATAATTATAATAATTATAATAATTTTACACATTGATTTAGACCTCCATCCATACAAAATTGAACTAGCATGAGAATTGAAGCCGGCAGACCATCAACAGGGGCGTGTTTTTGTTAATTGGATGCTGGAAAGAGAAGACGGATTTTCGGCCAAGGTGCTCTTTTCGGATGAGGCTCATTTTCACCTCAATGGGTACGTAAATAAGCAAACTTGCAGATTCTGGGAGGCTAGAAATCCACACCAATATCATGAACAACCTCTCCATCCTGAAAAAGTAACTGTTTGGTGCGGATTATGGGCTGGTGGCATCGTTGGACCATTCTTTTTTGAAGATGCCAAAGAAAAGGACATTATCGTCAACGGGGAACGTTATCGCGGCATGTTAACCGACTTTTTGTGGCCACAATTGGATCGTATTGGTGCCGACGATATTTGGTTTCATCAAGACGGAGCAACGGCTCACACATCTCGCCAAACAATCGCCTTATTGCACACGAAATTTCAAGACCGCATAATTTCACGAAATTCAGATGTCGGTTGGCCCCCGAGATCGTGCGATTTAACATCTCTTGACTATTTTTTTTGGGGATTTTTGAAAGGAAAAGTATATGCGAATGGTCCCCGGACAATTCAAGACCTAAAGCGCAATATTCGGACTGAAATTGCGGCCATAGACCCGATTATTCTGGAAAACGTCATTGAAAATTTTGATGTTCGGTAAACGAAGCCGCGGTGGTCACATGACTGATGTTATTTTTCATATATAAATGGCATAAAACAATCTTCATTTATCAATAAAAAAAATTGATTTCTCCTCGTAAAAAGCGTGTTGATTTTTCAAATAGAAAAAAGTAATAGCTGACGCACCCTACATTTGGAAACTTGAAATGAAAGAGCTTCATCACCGTTTCAATATTTTGAATCGGGAAAGAACGATTTAAATTTTTTGTTCATTTTATTAACAGCTAAATAATTGTTGTTTTTGAAAATGTATTTTTTCGTTTATCATAAATTAAAAGTGTTTATAAATATTGCATGAGTAATATTTATAGTAATGGAAGTAAGTGTTTTATAAAAGCTGGCTTTTTTGTTAAAAAAGATTTGAAATATGTATATTAGCGAATGGTAGTTTCACCGTGCAAAATGTACCGCCGCTGAGTTTCTGCTTTTCTCTATAAAAGGACGACTGACTTAGCCTAAAACCACATATTCCACAAAAATTATATTTTTGGGGTTATTGTCGTTGTTACACGCAGTTGTTTTCTTTTATATCCATTACCATGCATCAGAACCCTAGAATCATTTACTTTTAATGATAAAGTTGTTAACAATGTATGCTTTTCAGGTCAGGTTAGGTAAGTAAACATTTTTCTCTTCACAGAATCTATTCATTCACCCCGATGCCCGAATTTCCAATTATCTCGAGGAAATCTATTTTGCATTTACTTTTTTTTACCATTACTTTCAAAATTCATAACGCAACATGTATCGTGACGCAATTTTGATTACATTTTGTTTAACACACGAGAATATTTCACCATAGAGACTACATGTGTATTCCACTATCATCTCGACAGTGATTCCTTTTTGTCCACGTTATGTCCGGCGTTCCCTTTATTCACTCCAGCGAATATGCATACGGTGAATTGACTAAATTCTTCCTAGAGGCACGGCCAACCAGATTGTATAAATTATTTGGTTGCTTCAATAATAACCATCTGACGCTCCCAGATAGATGCTAATAGACTACAACTAGTCACTCAGATACAAACAACGCGGCAGCATATATATATGCTCCGTTTCGCATGCCCTCTAGGTGGTTTTTGCCCCTATGTAGTTCATAACGGCATGGCATATACTCCGACGTTCAAAATTGGCTTCATGTTCTGAGCACCAGGCATATTATCGAATAGCTGCGTGGCAGTTTCTAGTTGATTGCTGCTCTCATTGAGCTAGACATGACACAGCTATTTGCTAGGCGGAATACGTGTTTTCGTTCATCTCTTGTCATAGTCGACAATGAAAACAAACATTGGTGAATGGAACTAGCTCAGAAATATTGAATCAGGTCGGTCAGACAACTCAGAACTATTGAATTTTGAAGTGGTTTAATGTACAGTCTGCGAAAGCCAAAAGCCCGCCAATTTTGACGGACAAGGTTAATAATCGCTTTACGATAAAGTAATCTCGAAATACTCTCGGGGATCTTGTAAAGCAAGGCTTAAACTATATATAATTCATATACTCGGCGACCTTTTTTAACCAAATTTACCCATTTTTAGGGCTTTCCAGTCACTAAATCGCTTGTAACTCGAAAATGGTCAGCTTCAAAAAAGAACTGATGGATGCCTTTTTTGTTCAGAGTGACCTAAAAAATCCGAAAAAATCATCCAGGTAAAAAAATTTTAATTTATTTAAAAAAAGTTGCATACCCAAATTTGGTCTAGGTCATCGTCAATGGTTAAAAGCTCGGTTAAAAATTATAGCATTTATGGTCCCCAAGTGTCACATTAAAGCTAAAACCTTGCTCTATAGGACCATGGGGTTTAATTTATTTTAAAGCGATTCCAACCTTATTTTTCAGTCCTTAATTAACAAACTTTTGATTTTCGCAGGCTGTAGTCGTATCAGCCGATTCAATAAAAGTTCGACTCTGTTACGAATATTTTCACACTAATCCCAGTTACCAAATGTAGACCAAAATACTTTTTTCAACTGAATTGGGCCTTCCTGATGTTGTCAAGAGAGGATTTTCCTCTAGTGTGTCGTGGCAGCATCGTTGTCGATCACAGACGGTCGCTTGCTTGGCGGTTCCTAGTCAATTCCAAATCACACGTTTAAAACTTTCCGAACCATATTCCGTATGTTTTGTTGAAAACCACGTATCGTCGGGTTACTGGAAAAATCAGATAAATCTCAAAACATCGTTTTTGGTAATTGGCATTTACATGTCTGACAACACTTTGAGTAACTATTATTCAAACAAAATCAGAATATACGAGAACATGAACTAAAAAGTTTCACCCTTAACAGGTGTACGTCTGAAAATGTATCCAGTGCATGATATCCACTAAACACTTTTAATTTTATAAACGCTCGGTGAAATTTGTTTATTGTTGGAATTGGTATCAAATATAGTTACGTGCCTAATACTTTACCCCGTAAACCCTTTCTCCAACCTGATTGGAAGAGGATAAGGGTGTCGATTCCAGAAACAAACTAAAAATGTAGGTCAGAAGGATAATAGGATGATCCGCTCGTGTAGAAAGTCACCACATTTTTTACAAGGCACGCATAAACAAGTCGGGTCTTCACCCAATTGTAAAAACAGTGCGAACTGGATTGACCTTCTCACGAAAAGCTTCCTAGTCAGTAATTTCTTGACGTATTTTCGTTCAGCCCTGCCTACATTCGGTTTGACAAATGGCAGGAAAAAATTCTGTTCCGATTGTGAGAAGGAAATCTAATGGA